ACCGATACAGAATAGAGTTTTACTCAAAGACTGGGTAGCGCGGATTGACGGCACGGCTGCAAGCGTGATGAGCACAAAGCCCACGGAGCTGGAGGATGCAGCACCAAGCAGCGTTTTGAATTTGCCGAGGAATTCATCAGAGATATAGCCTGCCGGGATGCACGCGAATTGGCTGAGAGAGTCGTATGTGAGCTTCATGGAGTTGGAACCTTTGTTGGACCAGCCCAGTCGCTGGAAAAAATTCTTGAGCGACTGGTTGACGGCATAGCTGGCCACCTCTTCACATATCGTCATGAGGAAAATGAAGACGCAGACTTTCTTCATGATATTCTGCGAGTACTTGGACGGTCGAGCGTCCCATAGCTTGGTGCTGTAGCCCGTTGATGGCTGCGGCGACAGTACCTGAGTGCTGTAGTCGGTGGTGATCTTCGGTGATACACCCTGCGGCGTGAGCAGTGGCGACGGGGAATCCTTGCGAGGAGCCATTGTGAGCTGAACAACACCAATTGAGTTATGTGGGCGAGCAACGTTGATCAATGCCGCGGATCTCCGGATTCTTTTTCATGAGCACGCTCCCATGGTCTTTCCACACGGTGTCGCTCTTTACAGCAGCCACCCTCAGTGTCGGCACACCATTTCAAGATGAGCCAGGTCGGCACGACCAGCATTATTATAAGGGTTGACGCTACTATCGGGTATTTGTGTAGTCGCCGCTCCAGTCAGAGTATCAGCATCTTTCCGCCTCGTTCAGCATTGCCGAATATTGATGACAAGGAGGCGTCTACCAATGAGCTGAATGTCTCCGCCTCATCGATGGCGGTAAGGTCGGGCCTAGCTCAGCATTGGCTGTCGACTCCTCCAGTCGCAGGTGATTGTGAAGCTGTGTTGGCGGAGCGGACGAGTGTGCACTGCACGCTAAAGATCGCAAGTGATCTTGGCTTCTCTCACGCATCAAACATGACAGCGGGATGGACACTTAGGTGGCCAATGACAACTTGCCATGGACCAGCGCATTACATTAAAATGAGCCCTTAGATGATCGTCCACCGATATGGTTGCTGATGGTATGAGGATGGGCGGCTTAACAATGGTCCACATCGAACATCTGACAATCTCACAAGTCGCGTCATGACTGGCGGACGGGATCCAACCAGCGCTGAAACAATTCATTACGTGTTACCGGGGTGCCTTAAATGCCTTGGATACGCCACGATGGCTTGCGTTCATCTTGGCTAATCTCTTAGGTTTCATTGGGCTAGTGTACTGTCGCTCCCTTGATGAGCATGAGCAGGTAGACCCTTGAAACTCAAAAGTATCATCGAAATCATCTGCTTCATCTTTCACCCTTTGGTAGCTCATTTTCCAACTCACGCTCAAGCAAACATCATGGCCCCTAAGGACAACGACCCCACCTCGTCAGGCTCCACCGTAGTCGCCTCCTCGCCTGCTCCAATCAAGAACGCGCTGAACCTCGATGTCGAGCACACCCCTTTCACCCACCCCGAACTGCTTGGTGAATTCCCTACCATTACTTATGACCCGATTCCAGTGCTACCGTACGAGGACCGCGCGCTCAAGGCCGACCCCACCTTCAAGAACTTGCTGGCCGATGCGACTGTGAAGCACTTGGAGCCGAAGATCGGCACGGAGATTTCAAATCTGCAGCTGCACGAGTTGACCGACACACAGAAGGATGAACTGGCATTGCTGGTGGCGCAGCGCGGGGTGGTGTTTTTCCGTAACCAAAAGATCTCAATCCAGGATCAGTTGGCTCTTGGACGTTATTATGGCCCTTTACACGTTCACCAAACGGTGGGGCACGCGAAAGGTATCCCCCAAGTGCACGTTGTTGAGAACTCGCTCGAAGTGAGTGAGAAGCGCATCAAGGCACAAGCCCTGGAACCCGTAAACCTGTGGCACAGCGACGTGTCCTACGAGCGTCAGGTGAGAAGCGTTGACGTTTTAATGTCGTTTTGGCAATGACCTTTAATGATGATGTTGGTAGCCTCCGTCGTACACGAGCTTCAAGGTTCTGACTACTCCCCCCACCGGCGGCGACACTTTGTGGGCCTCTGCATACGAAGCGTATGACAGACTCACCCCGCAATTCAAGACGTTCGTGGAGGGTCTCACGGCCATTCACAGCAGCAAGGTCCGAGCTAATCTTTAGATATCGT